CTGTGTCTTAGGGGCAAAGGCAGGTAGGGCGGCTTAGGGAGGGAGGAAGGGGGTGCGGTGGATGGGAAAAGAGAAGGTAGGAGAGCAGACCAGGGCTCGGGGTAGGCCTGTCTGTGCAAAACATTCAGGGGTGAGGCCTTGTGACAGGACAAACATGGGCTCATGGACACTGTCAGCCATCTGGCTATCCAGAGGGGGGTGTGGCACCTGCTGTCACTTTATGTGTTTGGGGAGCTGGGCCAGCACTTCCGAGACCCTTTATATCCTCATCACAGTTCTGGGCACTGCCCACAATTGAGCCCCAGTGCTCCTAGCAAGCCAGCTGGCTGGTGTCCTGAGGAGAAGCGCTGTGAGTCAAGGTACATCTCACACATGTGTTACCTTCTCCACCACTGTAACTCCTTATAAAAATGACATGCATAAATCATGAGCTAATTACTAATGGCTGGCCCTTCCTCAGCAATTTTAAAGAAACAAGAAGCAATTTAAAGAGACAAGATATTAAAAAATTCAAATGTGACACCATTTTGTTAAACGTCAAGCCTTACTAATCGCTGATAATTTTTGAAGACCGAAAAGGACACTTAATCTGTATGTTTTCTTGGAGTAAAAAGACTTGTGGTGGGGGGAGGGGGAAGAGAGGAGGGAAGAAGTTTGGACAGATCCCCACTGTAGTCTTTGCTCTGGCAATACGAATTTTATAGAAGGTAAAATTGTGAGATATGTTTCCACACAAACGAATTTATAGGTGGTGTACCTACCACCTATAAGAAGAAAGAACACATAGTGTAACTTAGGAGCTTACTGTGAGCCTCATTCTGATTGTACCCCCTTTCTGGCCTAGGAACAGCCCCTCTCTGGGATTTTGTGTTGGCTCATTCCCTTGCTTTTCTTTGCAGTTTTAGAACCAATGTATGCATCCCTAAAACATAAATTATTAGTTTTCCAGTTTTTTAAAAAAGATTTTATTTACTTATTTGACAGAGAGAAGCAGTGAGAGAGCACAAGCGGGGGGAATAGCAGAGGGAGAGAGAGAGAAGCAGGCTCCCTGCTAAGCAGGGAGCCCAATGAGGAGTCCATCCCAGGACCCCGGAATCATGATCTGAGGGGAAAGCAGATGCTTAACTGACTGAGCTACCCAGGTGCCCCTAGTTTTCCAGTTTTTGAAGTTCATGTAAATGGAATTATATTGTGTGTATTCTTTTGTGTCTAGTCTATTTTGTTCAGTGTTGCTTCCTGTAGCTGCATTAATGTTCATTTTCACAGTGAATTGTACTCATTGTGTGAATGTGCCACAATTTATTTATCTCTCCACCCTGATGGTCTCATGGTTGTTTCTAGAGTTTGTATTATGAACAGAGCTGCCATGAACATTCTTTTCTGTGTCTTCAGGTATATTTGTGCAAGAGTTTTTCTAGGGTGTGTGGTTATTTAAAAAAATTATGCAAGTAGTATATGCTCAGTGTAGAAAACCATTTTATGAGTATTCTTCCAAATTTAAAAAACATAACATCTCTTGATGTTCATCTTACTTCATACTAGACACTATGCTAATTGCCCACCATGCATTAATGAATTTAATTTTTACAATTATCCTCTGAGGCAGGTGTCAGATGAGGACACTGAGACCTAGAAGGTTAAGAGTTTTGCCTAGGTTGTGTAGTTAGTGGCAAAGCTGGCTTCCCCTCCCCACCCCCCAACCATACTCTTCATGGCCCTTTATAGTGCTGTCAGGGTTCAGGACCAGAAGATGGAGGAGAGCTCACCCTTGTTTGTGGTAAGCATCTAGTTCTAAGAGAAAAGCTGGACCCACACACCTAGATCGTGAACAAAAATGCAAACCTCACAAAACACCAATGAACACAAATGTTTGGTTCATGGATATATTCCAAGGGCTTGGCACATAGTAGGTGCTCAATAAATACTTGTTGAATGAATGAAATGAATACCAACTATATATTAAGTGCTGAGTAATGGAGCCATCAAAGGTTGGTAGTTAATTGTGCAAAGCTTTCTGGTAGGATAGGGTGGGGATCAGATGAAGCAGACCAGAGGGGAGCCATTCCTGGGAGTGGGGCCTGGGTAGGGAGACCTTCCTGGCTGGGGCCTGAAGGAGGGATGAAGTGAGTAGATGTGTCCTTGACCAAAGTGAAGTCATTGACCTGAATGATGATGGCAGTGGTAGGGAAAGCCAGCCAACAAGGGCAAGCATCTCGAAGGCCATGGGGAAAGCAGAAACTGAGGGTAGGATTGGGGAAGGAAAAAAAGAAGTGGATGGGAGGTAGATTTCTAGGGAAAAGAGGAGAGAAGATGCTTGGTCTTAGACTATTACTCTCTAGAGCTACTTTTTAAAGGACAAAGACCATCTGGGGGAGGGGCAAAGAGAATGGGAGGGAGGGGAGATTGGGGGAGATGAAGGGAATGGGAGGGAAGTGGAGGACAGTGGAGGAAAAACGAGAAGACCCATGGGAGAATGGTGGGGGGACACTGCAGGGGTGGAAGAGCAGAGGAGGAGGAAGTTGATGGGGGAGGGAATGCAGCACTGAGGGCAAGGTATGGACATATCTGAAGAGGTGGGCGACCTTGGCTTCAGCTTTAGAGCAATGAACCCTCACAGGCTGGAGGAGGTGCAGGGGTTCAGCCTGGTTAATGGGATGGACCTCACCAAGGGCAGAGCTTCTGAGTCAGTCTTCATCCCATTCCCCCAGGCTACTCACAAAGGCCTTTGGCCCCTCCTTCCTCTGGTGAATTCTCATGGATAATTGGCCACTGTCCCAGGCCGTTTAGGCTGAGGAGGCAGGACTCTGACTTGGGCCTCTCAACTCATGAATCTAGCTGTCCTGCTTGTTGGCTGGCCTAGGATCAGCTCCCTCATCCACAGCCTGAGTGTTATGTAAATAGCCCCTCCTTCACCCCTCAATTCCCCTCACTGAAACCTGGCCTGCATCTGCTTTCTGTGAACAGAAAGCATGAGCTACAAGGTTAGAAAGGGCACAGCCCTTTGGATACCTGCAAGCCTGGTGTGCAGATGTTTGGGTACCCTCAGATGTAGAGCCCACAGGCTGCCTCCCACCCTATAGCATTGAAGCAGAATCCCAGAGATAGTACTCCCTGCTTCTGAGGTCTCTGCCTCAAATGGTTCTCCACTATCACAGCGTCTCACAATCCCGGCCTCTCCTGCAAGGGTGCTCAGGTTTCCCTACTGTCCACTTTCTGAAATACCTCCATGCACACTTTTCACCAACACTGCCCACCTACCTCCTTACTGACGTCTGTTCTCACCCTTTCCAGGGAGTCTTTCTTACCTTTCCCATCAGATTAGTTGCATTCTACATTGCCCCAGAATGGGCACTGTCAGTAGGCACTGCATTCCTGAGCATCTGATGATATAGCTGAAAAGCAGCCTTCTCAGACTTCTGGTCTTTGTCATGAATGTGGGTCTGTTTTCCCTGTCAGATTGGAGGTTCCAGAATCCATGTCTCCTTCCTCCTCTTAGTGTCTTCCTCCCTTTTTCTAAAATGAAGACAGGCTTCAGCATATGGCAGGGACATAGCCATCACAGAATCACTGAATTCTCCAACAAGATGTTATTTCATCTAACCCACCATCCATTTGGGGAAATCTGCCTTATAACATTCTTCACAGGAGAAGGATGAACTGAAAGGAGGCTTGAACAAGAGCTTCCAAATGTTAAAACCACCAGATTTGCCCCTTCTTTCCAGGTGTCCCTTGAACCAAGGTCTACTTAGGCTAATAGAAGAGGTTGTAACCCCAGATCTGAAGGTTTTTTGTTCACCCTGTTTCTATAAACATGGTGGCCACTCCAGAATAATTTTTCTCTTTTATATAAAGCTTCCCTAAATGGGAGACATAATGCAAGTTCCTTTAAGAAACAATGACTACCTGCTCTCCTGGGAAGTTTTCCTCAACTCCAACTTCCATCTGTCCAGCTGTAGTGAAAATCTGACTTTTCTTGCTCTCTTTGGAGTTCCATTGTACCTGGATGGATGTCATATCCCCCACCTTCAACTTCATGGTATCCTTGGGCTACTGACCAATCAGGAGGTTTTAGGATCAGGCAAAAAGCAAGATAAGTGAGTACGTCATTGATTTGTAGTTGAGGATTTCTGGTGGTCTGTTAAGGCCAAAGAAGACATACAAATTTATAAATTACTTTTTTAAAGATTTTATTTATTTATTTGACAGAGAGAGACACAGCGAGAGAGGGAACACAAGCAGGGGGAGTGGAAGAGGGAGAAGCAGGCTT